CAATAGTGGGCCTCTAAGTAAAATTCTTCACTTATATTCTACTTCTCCAATCTTTTCTCATTCTTTTCCTCCTCTTTCTTCTCCTACTTCTACTTCCTCCACTTCTTAATCTTCTATTTTTCTTTTTATCCCTTCTCCTCTCCGTTTTTCCCTTTTTTGCTTCTCATACTTCCCATTCTACTCCTTTTCCTTTTGCTCCCATTTTTACTTTTTTTTCTTGGCCCACTTCTTATTCTCCCTCTACTTCGTTTTCTTCCTACTATCCTTCTTCTGGAATCGACTTGGAAACGGCCGGACACTTGCAAGTTGGCGTCCTAAACGAGCCGCATCCAGACTCGAGTCAGTCTGGCCGCAGCCTCGAATCCCCTCCACGCCGGGATCAACCATCGGTTGATCTGGTCTGAGGCTGTCCGGTTGTCAGGTGGATGAGCCGAAGACACTCACCAGCTCCCGGTTTCAAGACGTGTCTGGCTTGCCGACAAATCAGCGCCTCCAAAGGGAAGAGGCATTGGGCACCAAATGTCCGTTTGACGGCAAAGTCTCTCACAATTCCCAGAGAATGTGCTGTCTTCTGGTCCGGCCCCTTTGATCAAAGCAACTGAAAGTCGATAGCGCGAGGTTCAGAGAAGCACTTGGAATTGATGCAATTAGTCAATATTATCCTCGTTCTCCAATCCTCTTTCTCTTTACTCTCTTATCCTCGTTGGCATGTCCACAGACGCAGCAATCAGCGAGCCGGTCTACAGGCCAAGCATTCACTTGGACGAATCAAAATTCACCGTGGGATCCGAGAATCGCCATCCCATAACGAGTTGGCGACTGAGAAAAGGAGGATACCGATTATGGAAGGGTTGAGATAATCAACCGCCTGAGTTGAGAGGGGCTAACCTTCATCCACTCAGTGTTCAGGCTGTATGGATTCAGCGGAAGACCAGAAATGGATGTCGCGCTGTCACTGATGCTACTCGAAGACCTGCAGCATGTTGGGGCCGTTCTTGAAGGATGTAGAATCGGTTGTCAGACCTGCCAGTCTCTTTACGCAGTCATAATGAGTATGGAGTAAACTTGAATTTATGAAAACCAGGCCTTGAGAGAGCATACAAATGTGGAATACTGTTTCAATAATTGTCAATTATTTATTTCTCGAATTAAGTATTGTTTTTCGTGTCTACAGGTAAATCAGTAATATGAGATGCATTCACCTAATTTCGTCTAAGGTGATGAAGGACTGGTAGGAGAAGAATTTTCCCACAATCATATGAGTTGAGCTGACCACCCTGGATGAGAACAACTTTTGCGAAAGCAAGACATTGTGGGAAAATTCTTCTTCTACCAGTCCTTCATCACCA